GGGGGGGGATCAGCGGGGATGGGGGGGAAGCTTACCTGCTACTGCTTCCTCCTCCTCCTCCTGCTCTGTGTGGAGCTTCCCCCCCTCCAAGTTGCCCCATCCATGCAGATATCTAAATCCACGCATCGGGGGCACTTGGATGGCAGAGAGGTTTTCCTGCACACTTGGAGCAGTCCCCAGGTGTGCAGAAAAATCTAAAAAGTTGAAAAAACTATACGGGGGATATTTAAATCCCCAAAAAGTAAAAGAGCTTTCCCTGCGCATGCGCAGAGAATGCCCTGGCAACTGTCTCACTGCCGCCGGCACTGGGTGGGGGGGGAGAACGCTTGGCAGCCCAGCAGCTGTGAGCTGCTGAGGGCTCACCGCTGCCGGGGGGAAGGAGGGAGAAGGCTTGGCGGGCCTCAGGCCTCGCCACTGCTGCCGCCACTGGGGAGGGGGGTGGGAGAAGGCTTGGTGGGCCTCGCTGGGGGAGGGGGGACAAGGCTTGTTGGGCCTGATGGGTCTACCTGCTGCCGCTTCCTCCTGCTGCTTCTGCAGGCCGGGAGCTATGGGGAATACTCCCCCCCCGCGAGTATCGCAGGTCCCCCTTCTTGTTCAATTCTATTTATTCTTAATAGTGGCACCAAAAAGATCTTACCTGGTGGGCTGGACAGTTAGAGCTATCCTAAGAAGGTCTACTTAGGCCCGTAGCCAGGATTTTTAATTTGGGGCGGGGCTTTAAATAAGTTGGTGGGCACCCCTGCACTCACTCCCAGAGCAGAGTAGATGAGCCTGCTGCTGCTGCGCATAGTGGAGCCGCCGAAGCCCCGCATGAAAGCAGGCAGCCAGGAGCCAGAGCAAGCAAGGAAGGAGGCAACGGGTGGCCAGCTTGGCGCACCCCGGAAGGCAGCGGCAATGGGGTGAGTGCAGTGGCTGGATGGGTTGCTGGGTGGCCAGCCAGCCTGGGCTCTCTCCACCAGCCCAGAGTGGGGCCCAGTCACCTCCCTTCCTCTCCCGCAGTCAGGCCAAGGGGCCCTGCAGCTTTCCCTTGGCTCAGGAGGGACAGAGGATGGACTGAGGGACCGCAGAGCTTTCCTCTGGAGCAGATGAGGAAAAAGGATGGGGAGTTGATTGACCCCGCCGTCACTGCCACCACCACCACTTTGTTTATTTTCCGTGCCCCATCTGGTGGCACTGTGGGAATGGAGGGCAAGGTCATGGCGTGAGGGCAGCGGCAGGACTCTAGCAGGCAGGCTTGGTGAGGGCGATGGGGGGGCTGGATGGGAAGTCAGGGGTCTTGGCAGTAAATTGGGGGGGGCAGACCCAGAGATGCCCCACTGTAGCTACAGGCCTGGGTCTGGTAAGAATTCTACTCAGGACTATTCAGTGGGACTTGTGCCCAGGAAAGTGTTTTTAGGATTGTACTGTAAGTAGCTTTCATCTGAGAAATACAGTAATAAAAGAAGTTGACTTGGTGGTTTAAAACTGATTGAATGGTTGACTTTTCTCTTCCATTCAATATATGATTATTCATGAATAAAAAAGGGGCTTCTAATCAGCATTAACTGTGACATTAATCAACCAAAAGAACAAGGATGTGATCTTATGTATGTGGCAAAGGACTCCCAAAATACCCTCTGGCTCTCTGAAGACAACTGGACAAAGAACAAATTTAAAAGGTAATATATACTTATGCGAGTAAATATTATCTGTGTCAACGTGTTAGCTTTTATTAAATTTATCATATCTCCCATGCCAACACTAAACAAATTAGATCCTAATTTGAAATGAATGGTGTTGAAGCAGCTGCCACAAAGACTGCATAAAAGAAA